GAGGTGACGATGCGCGTGGGAAATGGTTCCAAAGTCGATGTGATTACCGCCGGCACGCTACCTCTACATCTACCTTCGGGATTAGTTTTAGACCTAAATAATTGTTATTTGGTGCCCGCGTTAAGCATGAACATTATATCTGGATCTTGTTTGATGCGAGACGGTTATTCATTTAAATCTGAGAATAATGGTTGTTCTATTTATATGAGTAATATCTTTTATGGTCATGCACCCTTAAAGAGTGGTCTATTCTTGTTGAATCTCGATAGTAGTGATACACATATTCATAATGTTGAAGCCAAAAGATGCAGAGTTGATAATGATAGTGCAACTTATTTGTGGCACTGCCGTTTGGGTCATATTGGTATAAAGAGCATGAAGAAACTCCATACTGATGGACTTTTGGAATCACTTGATTATGAATCACTTGGTACTTGCGAACCATGCCTTATGGGAAAGATGACTAAAATGCCGTTCTCCGGAACTATGGAGCGAGCAACAGATTTGTTGGAAATCATACATATTGATGTATGTGGTCCGATGAATATTGAGGCTCGCGGCGGGTATCGTTATTTTCTCACCTTCACAGATGATTTGAGCAGATATGGGTATATCTACTTAATGAAACATAAATCTAAAACATTTGAAAAGTTCAAAGAATTTCAGAGTGAAGTGGAAAATCATCGTAACAAGAAAATAAAGTTTCTGCGATCTGATCGTGGAGGAGAATATTTGAGTTACGAGTTTGGCCTACATTTGAAACAATGCGGAATAGTTTCGCAACTCATGCCACCCGGAACACCACAGCGTAATGATGTGTCCGAACGTCGTAATCTTACTTTACTAGATATGGTGCGATCTATGATGTCTCTTACTGATTTACCGCTATCATTTTGGGGTTATTCTTTAGAGACGACTGCATTCACGTTAAATAGGGCACCATCAAAATCCGTTGAGACGACACCTTATGAACTATGGTTTGGCAAGAAACCAAAGTTGTCAGTTCTTAAAGTTCAGGGCTACGATGCTTATGTGAAAAAGCTTCAACCTGATAAGCTCGAACCCAAATCGGAGAAATGTGTCTTCTTAGGATACCCAAAGGAAACTATTGGGTACACCTTCTATCACAGATCCGAAGGCAAGATATTCGTTGCTAAGAATGGATCCTTTCTAGAGGAGTTTCTCTCGAAAGAAGTGAGTGGGAGGAAGGTAGAACTTGATGAGGTAACTGTACCTACTCCCTTATTGGAAAGTAGTTCATCACAGAAACCGGTTCCTGTGACATCTACACCAATTAGTGAGGAAGCTAATGATGATGATCATGAAACTTCAGATTAAGTTACTACCGAACCTCGTAGGTCAACCAGAGCAAGATCCGCACCATAGTGGTATGGTAATCCAGTTCTGGAGGTCATGTTACTTGACCATGACGAACCTACAAACTATGAAGAAGCGATGATGAGCCTAGATTCCGCAAAATGGCTTGAGGCCATGAAGTCTGAGATGGGATCCATGTATGAGAACAAAGTGTGGACTTTGGTTGACTTTCCCGATGATCGACAAGCCATCGAGAACAAATGGATCTTCAAGAAGAAGACAAACGCTGACGATAATGTTACTATCTACAAAGCTCAACTTGTTGCAAAAGGTTTTCGACAAGTTCAAGGAGTTGACTACGATGAGACCTTCTCACCCGTAGTGATGCTTAAGTCCGTCTGAATCATGTTAGCAATTGCCGCATTTTATGATTATGAAATTTGGCAAATGGATGTAAAGACTGCATTCCTGAATGGATTTCTGGAAGAAGAGTTGTATATGATGCAACCTAAAGGTTTTATCGATCCAAAGGGAGCTAACAAAGTGTGCAAGCTCCAGGGATCCATTTATGGACTGGTGCAAGCATCTCGGAGTTGGAATAAACATTTTGATAGTGTGATCAAAGCATATGGTTTTATACAGACTTTTGGAGAAGCATGTATTTACAAGAAAGTGAGTGGGAGCTCTATAGCATTTCTAGTATTATATGTGGATGACATATTATTGATTGGAAATGATATAGAATTTCTGGACAACATAAAAGGATACTTGAATAAAAGTTTTTCAATGAAAGACCTTGGTGAAGCTGCTTATATATTGGGCATCAAGATCTATAGAGATAGATCAAGACGCTTAATTGGACTTTCACAAAGCACATACCTTGATAAAGTTTTGAAGAAGTTCAAAATGGATCAAGCTAATAAAGGGTTCTTGCCTGTGTTACAAGGTGTGAAGTTGAGTAAGAATCAATGCCCGACCAATGCAGAAGATAGAGAGAAAATGAAAAGTGTTCCCTATGCTTCAGCCATAGGCTCTATCATGTATGCAATGCTGTGTACCAGACCTGATGTGTGCCTTGCTATTAGCCTAGCAGGGAGGTACCAAAGTAATCCAGGAGTGGATCACTGGACAGCGGTCAAGAACATCCTGAAGTACCTGAAAAGGACCAAGGATATGTTTCTTGTTTATGGAGGTGACAAAGAGCTCATCGTAAATGGTTACGTTAATGCAAGCTTTGACACTGATCCAGACGATTCTAAATCATAAACCGGATATGTGTTTATATTAAACGGTGGAGCTGTCAGTTGGAGCAGTTCTAAACAAAGCGTCATGGCGGGATCTACATGTGAACGGAGTACATTGCTGCTTCGGAAGCAGCGAATGAAGGAGTCTGGATGAAGGAGTTCATATCCGATCTAGGAGTCATACCTAGTGCATCGGGTCCAATGAAAATCTTTTGTGACAATACTAGTGCAATTACCTTGGCAAAGGAATCCAGATTTCACAAGAGAACCAAGCACATCAAGAGACACTTCAACTCCATTCGGGATCAAGTCCAGGTGGGAGACATAGAGATTTGCAAGATACATACGGATCTGAATGTTGCAGACCCGTTGACTAAGCCTCTTCCACGAGCAAAACATGATCAGCACCAAGGCTCCATGGGTGTTAAAATCATTACTGTGTAATCTAGATTATTGACTCTAGTGCAAGTGGGAGACTTAAGGAAATATGCCCTAGAGGCAATAACAAAGTTATTATTTATTTCCTTATTTCATGATAAATGTTTATTATTCATGCTAGAATTGTATTAACCGGAAACATAATACATGTGTGAATACATAGACAAACATAGTGTCACTAGTATGCCTGTACTTGACTAGCTCATTGATCAAAGATGGTTAAGTTTCCTAATCATAGACATGAGTTGTTATTTGATCAATGGGATCACATCATTAGAAGAATGATGTGATTGACTTGACCCATTCCGTTAGTTTAGCACTTGATTGTTTGTTTACTGATATTGCTTTCTTCATGACTTATACATGTTCTTATGACTATGAGATTATGCAACTCCCGAATACCGGAGGAACACTTTGTGTGCTACCAAACGTCACAACGTAACTGGGTGATTATAAAGGTGCTCTACAGGTGTCTCCGAGGGTACTTGTTGAGTTGGCATAGATCAAGATTAGGATTTTTCACTCCGATTGTCGGAGAGGTATCTCTGGGTCCTCTCGGTAATACACATCACTATAATCCTTGCAAGCATGATAACTAATGAGTTAGTTATGGGATGATGTATTACAGAACGAGTAAAGAGACTTGCCGGTAACGAGATTGAACTAGGTATTGGATACCGACGATCGAATCTCGGGCAAGTAACATACCGATGACAAAGAGAACAACGTATAGTGTTGTGCGGTTTGACCGATAAAGATCTTCGTAGAATATGTAGGAACCAATATGAGCATCCAGGTTCCGCTATTTGTTATTGACCAGAGACGTGTCTCGGTCATGTCTACATAGTTCTCGAACCCGTAGGGTCCGCACGCTTAAAGTTCTGTGACGATCGGTTTTATGAGTTTATATGTTTTGATGTACCAAAGGTAGTTCGGAGTCCCGAATGTGATCACGGACATGACGAGGAGTCTCGAAATGGTCGAGACATAAAGATTGATATATTGGAAGCCTACATTTGGACATCGGAATAGTTCCGGGTGAAATCGGGATTTTACCGGAGTGCCGGAGGGGTTACCAGAACCCCCCGGGGACTAATGGGCCTTGTTGGGCCATAAGGGAAAGAGAGAGGGGCCAGCCTAGGGCAGGCATGCAGCACGCCCCCTTCCTCCTGTCCGAATTGGACTAGGAGAAGGGGGGTGGCGCCCCCCTTTCCTTCTCTTTCTCTCCCTGCCTTTCCCCCTCCTAGTAGGAGTAGTAAAGGGAGGAATCCTACTCCTACTAGGAGGAGGATTCCTCCTCCTAGGTGCGGCAACAAGGGCCGGCCGGCCTCCCCCTTGCTCCTTTATATACAGGGGCAGGGGGGCACCTCTAGACACACAAGTTGATCACAAAAATCTCTCCCAGCCGTGTGCGGTGCTCCCCTCCACCATAATCCACCTCGTTCATACTATAGAGGTGTTTAGGCAAAGCCCTGCTGCGGTAGCTTCATCAACATCGTCACCACGCCGTCGTGCTGACAAAACTCTTCCCCGAGCTCTACTAGATCGTGAGTTCGCGGGACGTTACCGAGCTGAACGTGTGCTGAACACGGAGGTGCCGTACGTTCGGTACTAAGGATCGGTTGATTGTGAAGACGTACGACTACATCAACCGTGTTGTCATAATGCTTCCGCTTAACGGTCTACGAGGGTACGTGGACGACACTCTCCCCTCTCCTTGCTATGCATCACCATGATCCTGCGTGTGCGTAGGAATTTTTTTGAAATTACCATGTTCCCCAACAACCAACTCATCCAGGATAGGCCGAAGTCTATTGACTAAGCACTTAGCTATCACCTTATAAATGACGTTGCAGAGACTGATAGGCCGGAAATCAGTTAGGCGAGTCGGAGAGTCAATCTTGGGGATCAACACAATAACGGTGCTTTAACACCTTCCGGCATGACTCCAGGGGCAAAAAACAATTTAACAGCATTGATTATGTCATCCTTCATCATCGACTAGTGTTCAAAGGACCGATCGGAGGACCGGACTGTGGTCTGGCTCCGCTCGGGCCCGCTTAACATCTCTAGTCTGTGTAGGGATGATGTTTCAGGCTCTTGAGTAATACACTCCTTTTTACCCCCGCAAAAAAAGTCCAAACCGAGGCAGTATGGGGCGTTGTGAACGGTCATCACGTTGCAGTGCCCCGGCGTGACAAGCACCTTGGTGAAGTCCCTCTGGGCCTCCTTGGGGCACTCGGGGAGGTCCTTGAGCATGCCGGAATTCAGATCAGACCTCCGCCCTATGAAGTAGCACAACGCCTCACACCGGCAATGCTGCGAAGCATTGGAAAGCTCCCTGCAGCACCGATCCCATGGGGTGTTCCCCGGCTCGGTGGACACCGGCGGCCCGACAATGCCGATGCCGCAGGTTTGCTGTGTGACATACTCCCGGCATCCTTCAAGCGGGTTTCTCGGAAGGCCCATCCCCGGGTAGCAATATGGGCTTGTGGCCGCGGCGGCGGCGAAGACGGAGACCAGGACGGCGGCCAAGAGGAGGGGGTGATGCTAGACTTGGACGCCATATTATTCTTTCTAGCTTGGTCCGGTTTCTTACTGGGCACTGGTGGTAGTAAGTGTTGAGTATATGTGTTACATGCATATTGTGTATTGGGCCCGCCTCCTAGTTTCTTGTATAGTTGAGGTCCGTGGTCCATCTTTGTATATCATATATACGTGCCTATGCACGAAAAGCAATACATCGTGCAATTCACATATTCTACATGGTATCAGTTTTCAGGTTAAAACCCTAATCTTCCGCCGCCGCCGACGTCGCGCCTCCTCCCACGCCGGCCACCGCCCGCGCGCCTCCTCCTGCGCCGGCCGCCTCCCATCCCTCTCCCGCCCGCAGCGCTCGTCACGCCCACTCGCGGCGCTAGTTCGCATCGCACGCCCGCCTGCAGCGTTTCTCCCACTCGCTCGCCGTCGTCCGCATCAAGTAGCCATGGCTCACGTGCATGCACATGCAGACACATGCACGGGTGCACGTTCTGTACAAGGACGTGTTACACGGGCTGGAGTGCATCACCGCTCGTCTGCATCTTCTCAATTTTGCTCATTGCGCGTCTCGGCGGATCACCCGATGCACGTTTCCGTAAGATTAAGTGAAGACCAAAGTCAAGTTTACATGCCTCTGCCGGGAGGCCCGTCGTCCGCCGCCTCTGCCGTCCCACCGCTAGTGCCCTACGGTGCGGCCCCGCCAGCCCGTCCAGACTTGCCGCATGGCCTGGCTTTGCTGTCCCCACTGACGTACGTCACCGCCCCATCTCCAGCGCTCTCTGGCTAGTCCGTCGCCGGCACCGCCTCTGCCCGTCGATCCCTTGCTGTTGCGCGGGGCGTTCAACGCGCCCGTGTATGGGGCTCTCAGGTACTGGTGGGGATCGTCTGCAGGCCAGCACTCGCCCGCTGGGTAGCAGCCAGACGATGCTCAACACCTGCAGCATCTGTCAGCGGGCCCGCAGGTTTTTCCGACGGGCCATCCGGCCTATCCGGCACCGCAGTCACAGCCAGGGCTGCTTCCCATACCGTCTGGAGAGTACCCACCGCCGCTGCCAAGCGGTGGCTACGGCCTTCCCATGGTGTCTCCGTCCCCCTCGCCGGTCCTGCCGCCGGTGCCCTAGGACTCTGTGCTCCTTCCCGCACTGCATGCCGCTCCTACGCCGAACAACTACACCGGAGATGATGATTGGTACATGGACACCGGGGCTACGGCTCACATGTTTGCTCATCCTAATAATCTTGCCTTCTTCATTCCCGTCACCATCGACCGCTGCATAATTGTCAGCGAGGGTTCCACACTCCCTATCACACATGTCGGGCACAATTCTTTTCCTTCCAAGTCCATGCCTATTACTTTGTCTAGCATACTTGTGTCACCTCATCTTATTAAGAACCTTGTTTCCGTTCGTCGTTTAACTCATGAAATCCTGTTACTGTTGAATTTGACGAGCTTGGGTTTTGTGTCAAGGACGCTCAAACTAGGATGGTACTTCACCGATGTGACAGCCTCGACGAGATCTGTCCAGTGCATTCACCACCCACCTCCACCATCGCACTGGTTGTTCTCTCTGTCGGCGTCGATCTCTGGCACGCTCGTTTGGGTCATCCCAACCCCGTCACACTTCATCATATTCTTAGGAGTTTCAGTTTCAGTTGCCATAAGATAGAGGATCACACCTGTCATGCCTGTCGTGTTGGCAAATATGTTCGCCTCCCGTTTAATAAATCCACCACCATAGCTTTTTTTCCTTTTCAGTTGATTCATAGCGATGTGTGGACCTCTCCGGTTCCTAGTAATTCGGGCTATTTATTTTATCTGGTTATCCTTGATGATTGTTCTCATTATGTGTGGACTTTTCCTTTGCGCAGAAAGTCGGATGCACTCTCCACTTTGACGGCTTTTTACTCCTATGTCAGCACGCAGTTTGGGCGTCCCATCCTTGCTCTTCAGACTGACAATGGAAAAGAGTTCGACAACCTTGCTTTCTGCACTTTTCTGTCGCACCACGGTGGAACTATGCACCTCACCATCTTCTCTTCGATACGTCCCCATCTTATGATGGCTTGCATATTTTCAGGTGCCTTTGCTATCCTAGCATTGCCGACTCCGCTCCTCACAAATGCGCACCTCGTTCTGTCGCTTACATCTTCATCGGCTACCCCTCCAACTCCAAGGGATGTCGGTGCTACGATCCCGTCTCCCACCGTGTGTTCACTTCCCAACACGTTTACTTTGATGAGCATGTGTTTCTGTTTCACCAGGTACCCCCGACTGTTCCTCCCGCCACCGATGACGCGGGCTCCTCGACGCCTCTCCCAGGGCGTTCGCGCGCCTCTCTTGGCCCTCCCCCTATCTTTGAGGCGTGCCCCTGGATGCGGCGCCTCCTCCAGCCACGGCGTTGGCACCCCCGGCGCCCCTGACGTTGGCGCCCGCGGCCCCCTCGGCGCCCCCGGTGCATGTGGCCCCCTCGGCGCCCCCGGCGCCTGTGGCCGGTCCAGTCACCCGCGCCCATACGGGCATTTTTCGCCCGAGCTCGCGCTTTGCCTCGGATGACTACGTCCATGCGGCGTCCACCTCTGAGCCGTCGCTGTTGCCGTCCTTCGTTCGAGCCGCTCTGGATGGCTGCGATGTAAGAGGAGTTTGACACCCTGTTGCACAACCAGACATGGCAGCTTGTTCCCCGTCCTCGGCACGCCAACGTGATTACCGGGAAGTGGGTCTTTAAACACAAACTCCGTCCTGATGGTACCCTTGATCGCTAGAAAGCGCGCTCGGTCGTTCATGGCTTTCGACAACGTGCTGGTATCGACTTCACCGACACCTTCGCTCCGGTCGTCAAGCCCGGCACGATACGCACGGTTCTCCACCTTGCGGTCTCCCGTGCTTGGCCAGTGCACCAGATGGACGTCTCTAACGCCTTCCTCCATGGTCACCTCGAGGAGCAGGTCTTCTACCAGCAGCCCACCGGGTTTGTTGACCCGTCGCTTTGCTACCTCTTGAGCACCGCGTTGGATTTCCCCGAAGAGGAGAGGATGATGCAGCAAAGTAGCGTAAGTATTTCCCTCAGTTTTTGAGAACCAAGGTATCAATCCAGTAGGAGGCTACGCGTGAGTCCCTCGTACCTACACAAAAACAATAGCTCAATGCAACCAATGCGCTTCGGGGTTGTCAATCCCTTCACGGTCACTTACGAAAGTGAGATCTGATAGAGATGATAAATAATATTTTTGGTATTTTTGGTATAGAGATGAAAAGTGAAAAGTAAAAGGCAAAGTAAAAAGCAAAGCAATAATAAAGTGATGGATATTGATATGATGAGAAAGATACCCGGGGCCATAGGTTTTACTAGTGGCTTCTCTCAAGAGCATAAGTATTCTATGGTGGGTGAACAAATTACTATTGAGCAATTGACAGAATTGAGCATAGTTATGAGAATATCTAGGTATGATCATGTATATAGGCATCAGGTCCGAGACAAGTAGACCGACTCCTGCCTGCATCTACTACTATTACTCCACTCATCGACCGCTATCCAGCATGCATCTAGAGTATTAAGTTAAAAACAGAGTAACGCCTTAAGCAAGATGACATGATATAGAGGGATAGTTTCATGCAATATGATAAAAACCCCATCTTGTTATCCTCGATGGCAATAATACAATACGTGCCTTGCTGCCCCTTCTGTCACTGGGAAAGGACATCGCAAGATCGAACCCAAAGCGAAGCACTTCTCCCATGGCAAGAAAAGCCAATCTAGTAGGCCAAACCAAACTGATAATTCGAAGATACTTGCAAAGATAACCAACCATACATAAAAGAATTCAGAGCAGATTCAAATATTATTCATAGATAGACTTGATCATAAACCCACAATTCATCGGTCTCAACAAACACACCGCAAAAAGAAGATTACATCGAATAGATCTCCACGAGAGAGGGGGAGAACATTGTATTGAGATCCAAAAAGAGAGAATAAGCCATCTAGCTACTAACTATGGAAGCGTAGGTCTGAAGTAAACTACTCACACTTCATCGGAGGGGCTTGGATGATGATGTAGAAGCCCTCCATGATCGATGCCCCCTCCGGCGGAGCTTCGGAACAGGCCCCAAGATGGGATCTCGTGGATACAGAAAGTTGCGACGGTGGAATTAGGTTTTTGGCTCTGTTTCTGATCGTTTTGGGGTACGTAGGTATATATAGGAGGAAGGAGTACGTCGATGGAGCTTCAAGGGGCCCACAAGGCAGGGGGCGCGCCCTAGGGGGGGCCCTCCACCCTCATGACCGCCTCGTGGCTTTTCTTGACGGAGGGTCTAAGTCTCCTGGGTCTTATCTGATGAGAAAATCGCGTTCCCAAAGGTTTCATTCCGTTTGGACTCCATTTGATATTCTGTTTCTCCGAAACACTGAAATAGGCAAAAACAACAATTCTGAGCTAGGCCTCCGGTTAATAGGTTAGTCCCAAAAATAATATAAAAGTGGAAAATAAAGCCCAATATAGTCCAAAACAGTAGGTAATATAGCATGGAGCAATCAAAAATTATAGATACGTTGGAGACGTATCAAGCATCCCCAAGCTTAATTCCTGCTCGTCCTCGAGTAGGTAAATGATAAAAACAAAATTTTTGATGTGAAGTGCTACTTGGCATAATTTCAATGTAAATCTTCTTAATTGTGGTATGAATATTCAGATTCAAAAGATTCAAGACAAAAGTTCATGTTGACATGAAAATAATAATACTTCAAGCATACTAACAAAGCAATTATGTCTTCTCAAAATAACATGGCCAAAGAAAGCTATCCCTACAAAATCATATAGTCTGGCTATGCTCTATCTTCACCACACAAAGTATTTAAATCATGCACAACCCCGATGACAAGCCAAGCAATTGTTTCATACTTTTGATATTTTCAAAACTTTTTCGATCT